TATATATATATATATATATATATATATATATATATATATATATATATATATATATATTAATTGAAACAACCCGTATTTGTTTACAGTGCAGCATAGAAATGAGATATTCTTAAAAACCCTGTGATTATCATCTTTAGTATCATGTTTGCTTGATCACATGTAGCTTTATTAAAAAGGATAGTTCAATTCAAATTAAAACTGTGACCATTTTCACTCCCTTTACTTGTTTAGAGTTTCATTCATTCACTTTCCTTCAGCTTAGTTCCTTTTTTTTATAAGGGATCACCACAGCGGAATGAACCGCCAAATATTCCAGCATATGTTTTACGCAGTGGATGCCCTTCCAGCCAAAACCCTGTACTGAAAAAACACCCATACCCATACCCACCCAACATCCATACACTCTCTCATTTACATACACTACAGCCAATTTAGTTCATCCAATTCACCTATAGTGCATGTCTTTGGACTGTGGGGGAAACAAACATGGAGAGAACATGCAAACTCCACACAGAAAAGCCGTAACTCGAACCAGCAACCATCTTGCTGTGAGATGACAGTGCTAACCACTGAGCCACCATGCTGCCCTGGGGTGCGTTTCCCAAAACCATCGTTAGCCAACTAAGGTTGCAAGTTCCGTCTTTACAAACATGGTTTGTTGATTTGCCATTTCCCAAATCCATCACTCCAACGAACATTCACAAATCGCGTCACAAACTTGAGCTCTCGCAACTATACCTCTGGAGCTGTAGTTTAAAACATAGTTCCTGGCTGTGTTCTATTCTCACTTATCCCCCCTATGCGCTATTCATTTAGAACATTCTAACATTCAAAGTTGGAATTATGAAAAGTAAAAAAGCATTAAAGTCATCACTCTTCGGTTTAATTTGCTTTCAAAGTATTTTAACAGTTCAGTTTTAGCAATCTTCATGTTTACAAATGTGCTCCCTTCGCAGCGCACTTTTAAGACATTGATGTCATTTGGAACACAACCGCATGGCGAAAGCTGTTGGTGACCTATTATTTAAAAGCTGAATTTATGTTACATCTCCAAAGCTTGTGAAAACAAAAAGCATACGTGAATTCTTTTAATTTATAATAGGTTATTTATTAAGTATCTGTACTGTATATGACATAGACCTGTTGGTTAGAACTTTGTGCTGTGGTTTACAAGTGTCCAATTGTAAAAGAAGACTTTTAAAAAATAAATAATCAAACAATATCCTACTTAATAATAATAGTAATAATAGTAATAATCATTGTCATCATCATCATCTTCATTAATACTATTAATATTATTATTAGTATGATTTTTTTATTTCTAATACATAATAATTCTTAAGTTTCATTTCTTGATAAATCTCCTCATTATTTATTTTTTTATATGAATTATATATAGTATTAGAACACGGGTTAGCTTTTGCAAGTGATTTTATGTTTTACAATATGATATGTCAATCTCAATAATGTTTGTAAAGAAAACAGGCCCTATATGTGCCATATATTTCAATTAATATGGAAAGCGAGTGCATGTTTTTACCAAATCTAATATTGGATTTTTTTAAAAATGCGTGTTGGTGTAAAACAATGTAAGTTGCACAAATAAATTATATGGTTCTTCTCTAAAGAAGTTGTTACTCGACCAAGTTTACAGCATCATAATGGGCGTTTTACGTTATAACTAACCTGGTTCAAGCGATGAAACTATTCAAAACTATGCGTTTTGGGAAACATTCGTCACTACCTCGTTTTTTTCCCCGAACGATGCATCGTACCATGATAGTTCAGCTGTGAGTTACATTGTTGTTTGGGAAACGCACCCCTGATTGAGTTTCATTCTTCCGTTAAACAAACAAGAAGCTATGTTTCCATATGTTAAAACAGGTAGCCATTTAATTTCATAGTGTTTTCATAGATGTCACTGGCCTCCAGTTTCCAACATTACAACTTAGGAAACTGAGTTGAGTAAATGTTATATTAATATTAATGCAATTTAATATAAATATAAGTAATAATATTATATGCAATTATTCATCATCATTTACTCACCCTTGACCTGCTCTAAACCAGTTTGAGGTTTTTTGATTTGCTAAACTAAAAAGAGGAAATGTTGGAAACCGGTAACCATTGACTTCTTTATATGTTTTTCCTACTATGGATGCCAATAGTTAGAGGTTTCTAACATTCTTCGAAATATCTTATTTTTCAAGAGTTCACACTTAGATAATGCTTGACTATTTTAGCAGGTTTGGCATCTTGTCTCTGGAGAGAAACCTGAGCTCGGTGATGAATGAGCCCTAGGCTCCCACCTGGTCAATAAGCATTAGGAGGGGTACGAAATCAGGTAGTTCTCGATAACTTCCCAAGAATAGACTGCTAACTGCACCAGTTTTAATGTAGTATGTGCTTGTGACTTTTGTTGCAATTTTTTATTTATTTATTTCTATTTTTTTTTATTTTGAGTGTGGGAGGAAACCGGAGTACCTGGGGAAAACCCACATGAACACGGGGAGAACATGCAAACTCTGCACAGAGAATGTCGACTGGCTCAGCTAGTGTTTGAACCACCCCCTTGCTGTGGGGCAACAGTGCTAGCCACTGAGCCACCATGTCGCTCGAACTTAAAATTGAGGAGGAGGGAGAGGGATAAAAAAAAGGGGGGGGGGTGAAGATGAGGAATGAAGTTTAGGCTAGATATTTATATTAAATTTGAAATGATCCGATTGGCTAGTTAGTGATTAGTGATAGGGATCAGCTGTAGTCAATCCTATCACGTGCTCCTCTCGAAATTAGTTTGTGAAACTTCACTTAACTCAACTGAAGAAAAAATAAAAAGGAAACAGTTCTAGAGCAGGTCAAGCTGGGATGAAAAGGTTGATGGCAGAATAATTTTTTTGGGGTGAATTATCCCATTTAAGTAAACAATTTTATAATTATATTAAGCATATACTTATTAATGAATATTTATTTTTTCAGTATAGTGCATCTTAATTCAGTAATTAACAGTTAGTTGTGATTTTGGTTAAGAAATGCACATTTCTTTTTCCACAAAGCGACACCTGTTTCTTTGTAGTGCAGTTCTAGTTGCGCGTCCCTCAGGTCAACACATGGTGAAAGGAGAGTATGTTTTTTTCTTACTGTGAGGGAATCGAGGAGGGCTATTGTTGACGTCCAGAAGAGTGATGTTGACTGTTGTGGTCCCAGAAAGACCTCCCATCTGTCCGGCCATGTCCTTAGCCTGAATCACCACCTGATAGTGCTCCCGGTTCTCCCGGATCATGTTTGGCAGAGCCGTCCTTATGACGCCTGTCAGGATAGATGGACACAGGTTTCGTTAGGTGCTCGCTAATGAGCTTCTCTTTCTTCATTATTTATATGTTAATGTCACATTAAAAAAGAAGGCTGGACTGGGGAAAAAAAAAAAACATAACCAAGGAAATGAATTCCCTGCCGTAGGGTATTTAAAGTGCAAGTTTTAATTGAGTAGGATGTCAATCTTCATATTATGTTGTGATAAGGTTATTAGTACATGAGAGCAGATTTATTTAATTCAACCAGAACACACTGAAATTAGACTTAAACTAAAAGCTTTATTTAAGTAAAATATAGATAGGATTTTATGAAACGTAAAACTAAAATTGTGCTACACTATGACACGTATAAGAAATAATATATAATGAAAGAAAATTTAAATGAAGCATGCATATGGCTCTAAATACAATCTGTCCAGAAAAGGCCTTTTTTGTCCTGTTCTAGCTTAAAGCAAATAAATAAATAAATACAATTTTGCAGAAACAAAATAGTGTATAATGTTTCTTGTTTTCTGTACGCAATGTTTATTCATTTATTTATTTTTACAAATGATAAGATAAAATTACAAAAAGTTCAAAAGCAAGCATGTATTAATTATTATAATTAATAATATTACACTAGTAACAATATATTTTTTATATTATGTTATTTTTATTTTTTCTGAAAATGTTCATTACAAAAGTATTTCTGCCGCTGGTCGCATGCACTGTAATCCACACGTGAGTCCAGCTGCGCTCTCATAGTGGGAAATGAAAACAAAACAATTCTTCTTCTTCCACTTGTTTTGGCAACACAACGTGCCGTCTCTCTGCTGTCTGAACACTTTAACAGGTAAAAACAGTCTTCGAAGCTATCATGCATATTAATGAAGTTGAACCTCATTCACAATAGAGCGCGCTGATTGTTTTTAACCAAGTCATTCTCATGAATTATTGCTGCACACGCAGAGATGTCACAAAGTACTCCCAGGTACAGACGTC